GATATAAAGAAAAGAACATAAAACAAATTTTTATATTGACTATTAAAATACTGACTTAAGTGAAATGACTTAACTAAAATTAACTCTAAATTGTCATCTTTTTAAATAATGCTGCTATAATATTTTAAATTATGTATGAGCTTGTTTTCTACTGAACATCACTGATAAAGAATTAGTTGTAGAAAAAAACCAGGAGGGGAAAAAAAACCCTCAACTATGATCCAAAAGACTGTTGGGATTTGTCAGTACTTGCGTATAGCCTGATACAGAGAATTCTATTTTCCAGAAAATGGCTAAGCTCTCTGCCACCGAAGCCAATGGCAAAGCCTTGGGTAAATGACTTAACACCTTGGGACCAGCCTACATCCCAATCCTATGTGGGTTAAACACAACAGTGTAAACAGCCTGAACTTTTTTCTTTTCTTTTTTTTTGTCAGTGCCAAGACAAGAAGACCTCACTATACAGCCCAGGCTGGTCTGTAGCTCATGTTGAGATTACAGATGTAAGCCATTATTCCTAAGAGCCAAGCACTTTAAATGTATTATAGTACATATTGAAATTTGGGGTCAACCTATTTTCAACAATTTAGCATTGCATTATATTCCCTCCATTATATTAGCTATGAGCCTCCTAAGAAAATATCTGAGCTTTTAACAAATTTTGGTGACATTTTTATTGTGTGTGTGCATATGTATATTCATGTATGGGTGTGGGTGGACGTGTACGTGTGTGTGTGTGTGTGTGTGTGTGTGTGTGTGTGTGTGTGTGTGCACATGTAGAAGCCAGAGGACAACCTCAAGTGTTACTCCTCAATAGCAATCCACTTTTATTTACTATTCAGATAGGGTCTCTCGCCAGAACCTGGGGCTTGCTGATAAGACTAGGCTGGCTGCCCAGTGGACCCCAGGGATCTAATTGTCTGCATCTCTTCCATGCTGGGATTACAAACACATACCAGTGGTCAGGATGGAATTCAAATCCTCAATTTGTGCTGCAAGCACAACACACACACACACACACACACACACACACACACACACACACACACAATCTAGATATCTATATGTACACAGATATATGTATGTATATGTGTATATATATATGTATGTAACATTTGTTTGTTTATTTATTTAGTGTGTATGTTTACACACCATGGATTACATGTATAGGTCAGAGGACAACTTATAGGAGTCAGTTTTCTCTTCCCACCATGTGGGCTCTGGGTATCAAACTCAGGTTATTAGGGTTGGTAGCAAGTACCTTTATCCACTGAGCCATCTCCGTGGCCCAGCACTTTATGATTTTTTTTAATATTAATAACATTATACCTGTGCTGGACAGTTTTATGTCAACCTGACACAAGCTAAAGTTATCTGAGGGGAGGGAACCTCAGTTAAGAAAATGCCTCCATAAGATCCAGGCTAGCCAAGTGTGGTAGTGCACGCCTTTAATCCCAGCACTTGGAAGGCAGAGGCAGGTGGATCTTTGTGAGTTCGAGGCCAGCCTGGTCTACAGAGTGAGTTCCAGGACAACCAGGAATGTTACACAGAGAAACCCTATCTTGAAAAACAAATAAACAAACAAAAAGATCCAGGCTGAATGCAAACCTGTAGGGCATTTTCTTAATTGATGTAGGAGGGCCCAGCCCATTGTGGTGCTATCCCTGGGCTGGTGGTCCTGGGTTCTATAAGAAAGCAGACTGAGTAAGCCACGAGGAACAAGCCAGTAAGTCGCACCCCTCCATGGCTTCTGCATCAGCTTCTGCCTCCAGGTTCCTGCCCTGTTTCAGTTCTTGTCCTGACTTTCTATGATGAGGAACAGCAATATGGAAGTGTAAACCAAATAAACCTTTTCCTCCCCAACCTTCTTTTGGTCATGGTGTTTCATCATAATAATAGTAACCCTAATTAAGACAACAGCCTTGGAGACCTTTTTTTAATGACTTCAACTTCTAAATTTTAATAAAAAGGAACATATCATTATGGAAGATCATTAAATTTTTACCTTCAGAGATCTTGAAGAAAAAATAAGCATATACTATTGTTCCTGGAACGTTTAAATCAGGAGGTTGAACATGAAGATCCTTTAGTTTATAATTGTGATTTCAAAGAAAACGGTCCCCAAAGGGAGTGGCACTATCAGGAGGTGTGGCCTTGTTGGAGTAGGTGTGGCCTTATTGGAGGAAGTGTGTCATTGTGGAGGCAGGCTTTGAGATCTCATATGTCCTCAATCCATACCCAGTGAGAGACCCTTTCCTGTTGCCTGTCCCTCAGCTACCTCTATAGCACCACGTCTGCCTACATGCCACCACATCCCACCACCATGATACTGGACTAAACCTCTGAACTGTAAGCCATCCAATTAAATATTTTCCTTTTTAAGAGTTGCTGTAGTCATGGTGTCTCTTCACAGCAATAGAAACCCTACCTAAAACAATGATGCTTGTGAAAGAGTTAATCTGCCATGTATCTGTAATCCCAGCCTTCTGAAAGGAGTGGCAAGAGGGTCAGAAGTTCAAAGTCACCCTCAGCTAAATAAGCTCAAGACTAGCCTAGGCTTATGGACCCCGTCTAAGAAAAACAAAACTTAAAAATAAACAAAAACAAAATTGGGCCATGTTGTGAGTTCATTTAACACTTTTGTAATAACAGTTTTTTCACACAGCAAAATTAAAGTGGCTAACTGTTGATGTATTTATTGCCTGTATACATTGTATAGTTACTGTACTTATTGTATATAGTTTTTCTTATATTAGTTATAAACTTTTTTTTATTTTAGACAAAAAAGGGAAAATGTGGTGACATTTTATTTGTGCTCTAACAAATAAAGCTTGCCTGAAAATCAGAAGGAGGAGCTAGCCACTAGTTAACCATAGAGGTCTGGAGGTCTGTACAGACAGATAGGAAGTGACAGAGCTGGGCAGAGAGAGGAAGTGACAAGGAGCGGTGGAGGGAGGAGCTCGCTCTCTTTCTGTGGAGGATTTTGTAGGGGTAAGAACTAGTGGCTTGCTCTGCTTCTCTGATCTTTCAGCTTTCACCCCAATATCTGGTTCTGGGTTTTCTATTAATAAGACCGGTTAGCAATCTGTGTTACAGCTAACTAAATCTCTAAAATCTTCAATTCAAAACGTTCTTGTCAACAGTGAAATTCATGGTCAAAGACAAATTCCTGTCCAATGTTTCAAAGCTGCTCAGCCTTCCAATGCTTCTTAGTACTCTCTCTCTCCCCTCACTTCCATATCTGTGGTAAAGAGGCTTAGTGACAGTCTTCCACAGTGACTTCTGGCTGAACTTATTGTTCCACAAACACCCCCCACACACACCAAACAGTGTTTCGCTGTGTAGTTTTGGTGCCTGTCCTGGAACTCATGTAGATCAGGCTGGCCTTGAACTCACAGAGATCTGCCTGCCTCGGCCTCCCAAGTGCTAGGATTAAAAGTGTGTGCCACCACCGCCTGGCTTCCTGGTTTCTGTAAGTCCGTTCTCCACCCACAAAGATTACATGTTCTGTTTATTACAAGTTAGAAGTCAAGGCAGCAAGTGAAACCAGAAAGCACACATTTCCCTATTCTCAATCCAGGTTCTGGTTTGAATGCCATCACCCTATGAGTGCTCACTCAGTTGTTAAGTTGAAAAGAGTACAGAGCAAAAATCAATGTGTCATTGTCAAAAATAAATAACAGGATTAATAGTAGTCCCATGCTCAAAGGCAGTGTGACCCCACCAGAGAGGTTCCGTTCATATATAAGCTGTCAAATCTTCAGTAGGCAGACCTCATCACAGAGGAGCAAACACATGAATAACACACCGTGAAGGCAAATCTTACAGAAGCAGGGGCTCTGGTGGAAAAGGAATAGTAAAAGTGCTTCACTGATGCCCAAATAGCATTTTTCCTTCTACAAAACTTTGTTTTCTGTGCTAAAAAGACTACTGTGCACTCTCCAGACAGCCCAATTGTTCACATCATTCAAGGAGAAAATCCTTAGGGAAATTGATGCCTTCATAAAGTAGCATTCTCAAATCATCAAGAGCTGAATTAAGATCGCTAGTTGCTTTTTCAATTAGCAACACCATAAATTAAGAAATTTTAGAGAAAAGTCGCTTTTCCAAACAGGAAGAACACTTTCACTTTTTTAGCATTCCTGCTTAAGAGCCTGTAAACTGTAGAATCAGATTATAGTACTAATATTGTTATGTTTGTGCCATTATATACAAAAGCCTCCATCCAAAACAAACAAACAAAAAAGCAAGTGCTGGGCGGTGGTGGCACACGCCTTTAGTTCCAGCACTTAGGAGGCAGAGGCAGGCAGATCTCTGTGAGTTCAAGGCCAGCCTGGTCTACAGAGTGAGTTCTAGGACAGACACCAAAGCTACACAAGAAACCCTGTCTCGAAAAAACAAAAGAAGCCTCCATTCAGTATGTGTTTCTATAACAGGGCATGACTGTTCCGTGCTGTCCACAGCTCTTCAGCAAGACTCCATGTTCCTCTCTGCAAACTGTTCAGCCAGCTTCAAACATAGCCTAACTAACAAAGCACACTTCTGAGTTCTCTCCTTGACATTTTAGATCATCTCTCCCTATTCTCCTGCCAACTGTCATCATGAGGATCTTCCTCAATCCAGACCTGACCTGAATCCCTTTCTAGTATGCTGCAACAAAACAAAACAAAAACCCAATGCATTATAAGTGTAGGGCACCCAGTTACAGGAACAGAACAATTAATAGCCCAAGAAGACAACGCTAATGGTATGAAAAAAAAAAAAAGAAAAGACTCTTATTTCAAGTTTCTTGGACCTATGAGGAAAACAAAAACAATTTGGGTGTCCTATGGCAATAAGTAACACCAAACAAAGTAATATGGGAAAGATAATGGACACTTAGCCTGGTGAGGGTGTCACACTAACGATGTTCCTCCTTTCTGGGATTACAGAATGTTCCATTGCTGCTTCACCAGCTGCTCCCAACAGATACATAAAGAAAGGCATTTTGAAGCACCCACCTTGTTGAGGACATCTCGCTGGCAGCCAAGATAGAGATTGGGAAGAATTCGAGTTGGCCCAATGTTGGCAACAGGTAAGCAAGGCTGAGATATGCAGGTAGGGACTAGAGTGGATTTTCCTTCACAGAGGCCAGGGAAACAACGAGAGAACTCAGCAAACCCACCTAAGAATAAACATTGTAAGATTATGCCATGTACAATGTAACATAAACCAGCCTTCTGGGAACTACTTAACTAAAACCATTTAAAACAGAAAAATCAGATGGTACAGAGCCAAGCAAATAACACTGCCTATGTGCACATTCCTTCCCACAGCTGCTGATGCTAAACTGATGTAGAATCCAGCACTGAGTCTAGCTTATAAGGCTGTAGTATGGACGGACAAGTTCTGAGGGCAATGAAAATAAACCACTACCTTTTTCAGACAGTCTCTTAATCCTCACATACTCTATGACATATGATCTCCCTTTCTCTCTCCATAAAAATGTTATTTATGGGACATTAAAGAGGACTTTAAATCAATAGCAAAGAAGTAAAAAATAATTATTCACAACAGCAAACAAATGGGTATTTTAAAAAGTGATAAACTGAATGTTATTCTTTTAGAATAAAAATAATGCTGTAAGCTCTTCCAAGATTTTAACTTTAAGTTTTCCAACCATACAGATTACTGTGTAGTATTGTGGTAGGATAAGACAAGGTCATGAGCCAGGCAGTAGTTGTGCACACCTTTAATCCAGCACTCAGGAGGCAGGGGCAGGTGGATCTCTGTGAGTTTGAGACTAGAATGGTCTAACAGAGTGAATTCCAGGACATCCAAGACCACACAGAGAAACCCTGTCTCAACAAAGGAAACAAGACAAGGTCTTGACTAACCTAGGCATGCTTCAAACTCACTATGTGGCTGAGGATGACCTTCAGTTCCTCCAACCTGGGCCTCCCAAGTGCTGGGATTCAGGTTGTACCATCCTATCTGGCCATTTTTCTCAAGACATCAAAAACTTGCCTTACTCTTAAAACTTATCTCTATTACAAGTCATTACAGTTCTGTACACAGTTAGTCAAGGCTAACAAAGAAGTGTTCACAGATCCTAAATCATTTATAGTATATGAATTCTTGTGGCAAGAATTCTGGGTTCAGATGTAGAACTTGGGGTTGTTTGGCTGGCCTCAGGCTTTTTATTTTTCTTTACGTTTATTTAGTGAGTGTATGAGAGAGAGAGAGAGAGAGAGAGAGAGAGAGAGAGAGAGAGAGAGAGAGAGAGAGAGGTATGGAGGCCAGAGGACAAGTTGCTGGAGTCCTTTTTCTACCATGTGAGCTCAGCAAAGGCCTTTCCCTACTAAGCCACCTCCTTAGTGCCAGTCCTGTGGTTCCAGGCTTATATTTCTAATGAATTGTCCTATGGCCTTCATTAAGTACCATAGTCTTGCCACAATTCAATAGAGAAATCCATATAGCATTCTGAACTCATCTGAAGGGAGAAAATGTGAGGAAGGTCTTCTCAGGAATTTGCAATTTAAATAAATATTCCTTTCTATCCAGATGAAAATACAGGAACCAAATTGTTTCTAATAAAATTCCTTACTACCCAAATGCTTACCGTTTTTTTTTTTGTTGTTGTTGTTTTGGTTTGGTTTTTTGAGACAGGGTTTCTCTGTGTAGCTTTGCGCCTTTCCTGGATCTTGCTCTGTAGACCAGGCTGGCCTCGAACTCAGAGATCCGCCTGGCTCTGCCTCCCGAGTGCTGGGATTAAAGACAGGCGCCACCACTACCCGGCCCTTACCTCTTAATATCTCAACTCAGGAACCTTGAAGATTAGAATTATGGAAAATACTTGTTCAACTCAAGTATAATCCACCAGGACCTGTTTCTACTGTCTATGTTCAGTCCAGGGTCCAGGAGCAGTGAGCTCCAACAACAGGAATTTGCAACAACACTTAAGCCACAGCAAAATATAAGACAACATTCCTACCTCCAGTCTAAGGATCTATAACTTTTTTTTTTGAGACAGGGTTTCTCTATGTAGCTTTGAGCCTTTCCTGGATCTTGCTCTGTAGCCCAGGCTGGCCTTGAACTCACATAGATCCGCCTGGCTCTGCCTCCCGAGTGCTGGGATTAAAGGTGTGCACCACTACCGCCTGGCAGGATCTATAATTTTAAAACTATTCTTACACACGAGGAATTGAAAGGTCTAAAGCTAAATTGGTGGATAGAGCAGGGGGATCAGTTCCACTGTAGAGATCCAAATTACTTTGTACGATGGACAAGGCACTCAAATCTACACCTGTATGGGTTTTACTTTTCATCATTTCCAAACATGACTTCCAGCCCCATAAAACTTATTTCATACTGCAGGCACACCATCACTCTGCCTGCACCATATGTGCACACATACATGCCCAGTGACCACACAGTAGGGAAAGCAAGAAGACAAGCTCCTATATTCGAGTTCACTCCTGCCTTTCTTTACCTGCTAAACTACCTTGCTGGCATCTAATTTAGTAGTTCTGTAAAATTCACTTAGTGTGGTGACACATATCTATAATTCTAGCACTTGGGATGTGGAGCAAAAGCAGGAATTCAAGGTTATCTTTGGCTCCTGTTAAGTTCAGAGCCAGCCTGGGCCACATGGGGCCCTTATCTTTAAAACAACAAGAAACACACAAACAAAAAGTAAGTTCTATAAAACTCATACTGGTGATTGGGCAGAAGTATGAAGGACCTGGTAATTGTGAATTTGTGTGTGTGTGTGTGTGTGTGTGTGTGTGTGTGTGTGTGTGTGTGTGTGTGTTGTGATCTGTCTTGTTTCTCTAGCTATAATTCATTGTGAATAACACTCTTATAATCACTTCACCATTTACCATAGTGCCTAGCATATAATTAGAATTCAGCAAATGTTTATTGAATCCTTTCTTGTTACAATGAATAACTGTTGATGGACACAAATTTTGTGTATTTTTAGTATTCAGAAAGGATTTCCTGATTCCATTCAAAAACAACAGTTAAGCTGGCATGGGTGGGGGCACAAACCTGCTTCCTATTTGTAGACTACAATGTCCCAGAGACTCTTAGATGAGAGAAAAGGCACAGAGCAAGAAAAATAATTTCCTGCTATTAAAGGGAAAAGGTAGATCTAGTGAATGCCATTTTGGTCAGCCAACAGCAACACTGCATCCTTATAAGTCTTTACTCAGGGAACTTTTACAAAGACATAGCAAGTCAAGTTTCTCAAACATCCTAGGTGACCCAGGATTCTGTAACAGTGTGCCGGTAGTCCTGTCTTTGCGGCTCAGGGAATCAAGGGCACATCCTTAGAAAACCTTTGGGACAATGGTTACAATCACACCCCAAAGAGGATGAGGTGGCTGCTGGAAGTGCCTTAAGTGATCTGAAATATAATTATTAATCAAGGTAATTTTATGAGTCAAGATAAAAAGCAAACATAAGTCTCCACTCCAGAAAATGATTCACTCAAATCCAACTAACTAGTACACGGTCATGAACCATTCACTATACATGTCAGTCACCTTTCTATGTGCAGTTCAAAACTTCCTAATCTACTCTTGGGCAAGCTTCTCAAGACTATCTGTGTACTGTACTCTTATCAACAGTCTTCGCTGGGTCTGGTGGAGTAAGCCTGTTAGCCTAGTTATTTAGAATCTGAGACTGGAAGATTGCAGATTCAAGGCCAGCCTGGGCAATTTAGTGAGACGCTGTCTCAAAAGTAAAAAGGTGGGCGTATAGCTCAGTGACAGAGCATCTGCCTACTATGCACGAGGCCTAGGTTCAATCTCCAGTAGTGCAAACAACAACAAAACCCTGTCCTCCCTCCTTGACCAACTTCACAATTTCATAGGAGACTTCAAAAACAGTAGCAAAGGAAGAAAATGATCCCTATTCAATAACCCAAGCAACAATAAAAACCACTGGGATACACGCTTACAAAAAACAAAAAAAAAAATTCAAGATCCTGGTATGTGGTACACACCTTTGATCTCAACATTTGGGAGGCTGAGGCAGGTGGATCTCTTGTGAGTTTGAAGCCAGACTGGTCTACGTAAGGTTTCAGGACAGCTAGTGTTACATAAAGAATATGGGTCTCAAAAACAAAAAGGAACAAATAAAAACAAAATCATCAATGAGCATGTACTGTGATCTGGACCCAGTGCTAAGCAAAGGGGCCAGTGGACGAAGACAGAGACCATTTCTGGAGTTCACAACTTAGTGAGACTAATTTTAACCAAATGATGTAAGATGAACACTTGACTAATTGTGTTTGGTAGCTAACAAACTGTGGTAACCAATTGTACCTGGTAACCAGGAGAAGGTTTAAAATGACACTGAATGTAGGACACACCTAGATAAGTGGCAGAGAAAGAGACTCCAAGGCAGAGAAGAAAAAGTTTTCTGTGGAGGTTCAGAGACCATAAAGCTACAGATTTAAAGCAAATGGGATAAAGACTGATGGTCTAAAAAGGGAGGAGGAAAAAGGAACAAAGGGGAAGGGGGAAGGGAGGGATGATACCGAAGAAGGAAGCAGAGCGTAGAGGAGAGAAGAGGGGGAGGACAGGGAAGGGAAGAGGAGAGAAAGAAAGTGCAGAGAGAACATGGCTCAGGCAGAGAGGCGACAGAAATCAGCCTCTGTTAGAGTTCGGGATTCTACAGTTTATCCTAAGATTAAATTGAAAGTGAAACAATCTGGAAATAAAATATATTTAACTTTGGCTCCAACTGTGCATGCTGGCTGGAATGTGGCAGGCAAGACAGAGGATGTGAGAACAATTAGAAGCTCCTAGAGCATTCTGGAAGATAGACAGTGTTGGCTTGACTGAGGTCATAGAAGATGAAGACTTCTTACAGATGGGAGAAGAAAGACCTGGTGATTGTAAGATGACAGATGTTACAGCCCAATCTCTGACAGCTCACAATGCCTACCACATCTAAATAAACTCTTATATTTAAAGAGCTTGTATAATTTCATCTCAATTCCCATTTCTTCCCTTTTGCAGAAAAAAAAAATCCCCACCAATCTCCTCATAATCTTCTAAATCTATCATTCCTGTCTGTTTTGTTTCTAAACATCAAGTTATATAGCCTAAACTGACCTTGACCTCATAATTCTTCTGTGTCAGCCTATAGAATGCTGGAATTAGAGGTGTATGC